AAGTAATGTGTATACCCCACTACAATCTTCTTAAAATTAAATTATGATTTAGTTTCTTATTATTAATATTTTGTAGGTTTTTTATCCGTCTCTGAGATCGACGAAAATAAATAACGAAGCGAAATTGTAATTTAGTTTTATTTAGACTGACCCCACTAAGATATGTGCCTCGAAATACAATTTTATTGTGTTATTTCATTCCATTTCAGTCCAACACGTTGTTAAAAGGTGTCAAAAAAAGTCATAGATCCGTCTAATATAGTGGAAACGTGGATTGAAACAAAACATTTCTGCAATATCCCTGTTCCTCCCGGTCAATGGTTCAGCTCTGTACCGATACTAAATGTTTTGGAAATTCTCAAAAATGTAAAACACCAAGACTAAACTTTCATTCGGTTTTTTTTTATGAGGTTTTATTTTTAATATAGCCACTTCAGTTAGGTCTAAGGAACTGTGACAACCAAAAATATCTAAAAATCGAAGAGCTATCACGATGTGTTTATTCCACTTTTCGATACAAATGACGCAATTTTTTTGCCTAAATGAAATGAAGTTCTACGTCCTACTTTTCTGCACCTTGTGGGCTAATGAAGACGGAAAGAAGCGCTAGGACAGGCGATTTTTGCCTTGTTTATGTATTTGTCATTATTTATTACAGCCATGCAAATGATAAAGAAGACAGCAGTATCATTGTGCATTGACGTAGGTATATAGTCAGATTGCACACTGAAGGGGCAGAAAAATAGTTGGCAGAAAAGGTGGTTTAAGAAAATAATTTAACCGCACATCAGTTAGAAAATTACTTGTTGCCGATAACCCAATTTTACCAATTCAACAGAGACATTACGCAATTATTTTGTGAGGGTTTTCTATTGCATCCTAAGGCAAGTTATTCTTCGATATTTGTTCATATGCGAAGTGTTATTTTGGTAAGCCAGTCCTTGATTTCATTAACTCATTATGACGAAAATCCATGGTGGTGGAATGCATTCATAGTTGTTTGTTACTGTAACTTCCCACAATCTCAAATCCATAGTAATGAAACTTTCGTATCACAATATTATAAATAGGTAATATCATTAAGAGATTTAATTTAATTAGACAAAAGTAATTTGTCCTCGGGACTCTAAAATCTTAACAGAATTAATACGATTCTTCTATTTTATCCACTGTCATGATACTACTAAAATCTCATAATAGAACTCATGGTTAGTTATGGTCAGAGTTGTCTTTTGTGGATAAGAGAAGAAATATAGAAATTGATATAGACAACCCATACAATATTGTATAATCTTTAAGACTGGTTTGATTTGCTGTGACAACAAACTAAAGTAGGCTTAACAATCATATGTACCTCACCGTACAAACGCACTGGAGGTGTGCCTCCAATCTCGGTGAAGTCTGTTATCAACACACTACAGGTTCTGTTGGTTGTTCTAGTGGAGCCTCGTATAATTATGACTATCTGCATTTGTTATTTCTTAAAATATCGTTAAGATTGTCAAAAAGATTCGTCGATTCTTCATGATGCCAATTCTCATGACGAAGACTAAAGAATTAAGACAGTTCAGGGAGAACACATCATATTTTTGGAGTTGTTTCATATTTTTAAAAAATGGATTCAATATTATTGACGTCACCATAAAATCTATCTGACTTGCTAAATTTAACAACACTGATTTACAACTTTACTTTCCGGTTCGGTTGGTTTGCATTTAAAACCCACCAGTCGGTAGGTTTCATAGTACGGGGAGTGGGTCTTACAAGAGTTTAACTTTATCTTGCCAAATAGAAAGATAGCTTGCCAGGCAAGGTAATATACGCCCACTGGCAGCTTTGATTTTGAATAAAATATTTGGCAGTAGCCTACAATAACAATGAACAGTATAAAATATTCAAAATTTAGTCATACACTTATTGGGGCGATACTGAAATATTACCAAGTTTTGTCAAACTAGCAAGAATCGTGCATTTAAGTGTTTACGAGCTAAAAATTGAAAGCGTTTTCAAAACAATGTATTATAATAGGGTTCATCAATAATATCATTGATAATAAAAAATTTCACAAAATTTCGTCAAAATCTGTCAAGAATTGTGCCTAATCGAGTGATGACGACCTACATATTGAACGTGTTGTCAAAAACAAGGACAATAACTCATACTTAATATTTTTTCAATTTTCACTTTCATTTTCAATAGAGTGATTACAAACACTCACGTGCGAAACCTATGTAGCGTTTTTCACCACGAAAAACCCTGATCGTTTTAACACAATGCTCAACAGGAGTCGGTAGAAATCATCTTGATCTAATTGTACACAAAGACTTAGCTTTATGTAACTTGACTTTGAAATCAAGAGGAATCGCATTCTCTTTATACATCTCTCACTATTATCCCATTTCTTAAATGTGACTGATGTATAATCATTGTAAGTACAACTCGTGCTTTTATAATATTCACCTCTTTTCTACCCACACATATGTAATAGTGTAGGCGTTAGTTGCTCTTTGGGAAAGTGTTTTATAAATAATTAATAATAGTAGATGTTTGTAATGAATAGAGCTAATATATTTCAGTTTAACAGAATTTTCTCTGAGGTATATTCGATGAAAGATACTTAATAAAATGGACGATAGCACAACAATGACTCATGTTATGGCACTGATACCAGGGAAACTTAACTATCATTTGCTAAAAGTGAAACGATTCATTAACAGTTTTCGTGTAATCATGTTAGCCCTTACAATATGTCTGCTTAAATTTTATTTTCTTACATGCAGGATGGATTTCGGTGTCAAGCTGCATTATATATTTTGTATAATAATATTGTTTTATACCAAGTCATTTATTGTATGTTTGACATATGGACAAGATTTTTAAGAGGAATCAATAGCCTAATAAGTGTGTTATATATATGGACACATGACTCATATTGTTATTTTGTATATTAATTGATAATAGTCTTTAGTCCTCAAATTGTATTCTTAGTCACTCACTAAGCTAAACATTGAGGCGGATGTAGGTTGCGAGACAGGGCATTCTAAATCTTACAAAACTTCTGATGTCTGTCTAGTACTCTCTCTTTTTGACGAATCCCATTGGCAAGAGTGATTTATAAAAATAATTCAAAAAGAGTGGACAGCTTGGCAAGAGTGATTTAAATCTTCCAACGTTCTCGAGCCGGCCTGTAACGGACTATGAATGGTAGGTTCAATGGAGACGCGTGTTCCCATTATTTCCATTGAACCAGCTGTAAATAAATAGTTAGTCGTAGCCTTTATCTCTCAGACGTTTCCTGGATGGAGGCTGCAATGATAAAGGATATTGTATTAACATCTACTGCAAAATCAGATGTTTAGATCTTCACCAAAGTCTGACGTAGTGAACAGCATATTGTGATTATATTGTCAGCAAGATTAGACTGTATTTAGTGAGACGTACACGGTACTTCCTTCCAACTTCTTAGAGTAACATTGTTATAAGGTAATAATGTTCTGATAATATAAGACAAAATAAAGTCTTTTTCACTGCTTTTTGTATACATAAACAAATTTCTCAACCGTCTAAAGTCCACGAATGTACATTATACCAAACCACCAACATTCCCTTTTTAAATTGACGATTTTACAAATATGTGATATCACATCGTTGCTGCTTATTCTAAATTTCTAAAAGATTTTGTCTAATCCTGTATTTCAACCTTACTGTTCAAATTAAAGGAAATTTCGATACTGCAGTACAATACTTGTTATAAGAAAGAATTACTACTACTTTAGATTATATAAAAGTAAAATGACAAGGCTTGCGCTTGAAATAAAATAAATCTGATGCTCTTATTTAGACCTGAAAAGGTAATAGAGATTTATTGTCACTCGGTATTTATCTATGCATAGGTTGTGTCCATCACAGTCCAAACATCAAAATCAAATATTTTCCTTTTGCCTAAAATCCCAGGAAACATGGATATGCCTCTTGAAGTAACTGTTGAATACTACCAACGCACTCGGTCTTAATGGCCATACTGATTGAAATATTAAGAAGATACCAGCATCCTTCATTTTTTCTACGAAGGATTTTTATCGACAAATGCATTAACATCGGTGGCGTTTCAAGGAAACATTAGCTGAGGGGAACATTTTCAAGGGGGACCACATGCCCGTGTTTCCCGAATTGAACAATATGTGCATATCCGAAGTTATCTTTTCGCAATACACATTTCTTTCTTTTCTATACTGATTGATCGGATTAATCTTATTATTTTCTTAATATACCGTATTATTATTGGAACTATTGTTTGTTAATTTCCCTTGAATCAATTATTCACAGACTTATTGTGTTTTATATCTCATGAGGTTCTGAATTCGTGGATTGGTCGATCCGCGAAAGTTAAGCACTCACGTACGTTCCATAATATATCCCTTTGTGTTTTTGTTAAAGGCATGTATTTGATCATTCCACAAATATGTTACTAAGTAAGAACAGGAATATCCGGTAAAGCTGGTTTCCCCATTGATGCTGGTCAAATCGAAAAAGCTTCTAGTCGTTCGTATGCAACAATATACCGTTTGGTACTGGCTGTGCACTTTAAAGGTTCCTCTACAGTCCTCATATACCCAATACAGTTGAAAATAGGACGTAAAACTTCATTTCATAAGGTTTTATTATTTAATTCATCGCCCATCGAAAAAAGGGAATAACCCTGTTGTAACATCACAATTACGCCAGCACTATAAAAAGTTCACGTAGGTGGACAGTTGATGAGACATTACGCATGATGACCGTCTCTTATCGATTATCATTCATTAATACATTTTATTTGTAGTATCATGTAGGCTACCAAATAAATGCTGACCGTCCCAATCATTTGATGCAACGGGATATTTTCACATGTTTTATCATATTTTTGCTTCCCCTGTTACACCTTCTTGGATATGTTTAGAACATAGTGCATATCATCTATTTGTAAAATGTAAAGCTTTCCAATAGTCTGGAAAACAATCATGCAAGGCCAACCAGCGTTTACCTTGAAACGCAAAGTCTCTGAGTTGGATAGTTTTATATGTCCAGCAATGAAAACATCAGATGTGGACGCTAATATTAGATCCCTCAATCGGACATGGCTCTGTAAGTTTACGCAGGTCCTGATCGACCATTACCAAACCACACTTCAAGAGAAGCTGACCACCATTCGTACCAAGTCTCTATCAACACCTGCCGTCGACCGCATAGTTTCTCATGCCCTGTCCTGGGCCCGTCGCTCCTATGGAAAACGTCTCACTCAAGCTGTAATCACCAAATTCTACCAAACAATCAACGAAACAAAAACCAGAGTAACCATATCTCTACCAACTGAAATGGACACTACACCTGTACCATCTAGAGCCACCACGCTGCCGAACCAAACCCCTAAACGAGCCCGATGTTCACCTACTCCTAGTCCAGCAGACATAGGTAAACGCTCTCGTAGAGAGGGCACTCCCCTTCTCTTTTCACTTTCAGACTCGTCTTCCCCTTCCACACCATCTGAATCTTCACCGCGTGATCCAGGATCCGCCAACCTTTCTTCCTTCTGTGCGTTTTTGGACCAGCAAACCACCCCTCAGTCTCCATCCAAGTCGAAACGTGTATCCAGACCTCAGTCCGTTCCCAATGCTACAATTCTAACAACTACCAAACCAGCACCAATCACACCGTCGACAACCATTATATCCGCTACCAAACCATATTATCACCAAACCAAGGACAAATCTACCTTAATTATTGGATCATCTAACCTGAATCGAATTACCAAAAACCAGTTCAGACACTGAAATACATTCTTACCCCGATACCCAAATCCATCACATACAGTCAATCCTGGAATCATACGACCATGATCCCAAACCTACTACCATTATTCTTCATGAAGGCCTGTACAATCGTGATCAGCTACCAAAGACCTCCTTTAACCAAGCCCAGAAATTAATCGCTACAGCCAAAAAACCTTCCAAAACTCCAAGATCCTCTTCACATGTATACCCATTTCAAATAAAATCCAGAAGAAAGCACAACAGAACCTCAGCACCCTCAACAACATGATGATGAGTCCAGTATCAACAGCGCAACAATCTTACCGCCCTACGAAGACGAATTCGAACCAGTTGACCAGCATTTATTTGTTTTGGATAGTCTTTAAACTAATTACTGGGGATAAAAATACTAAGAGGCCACCGCTAGGCAAAACTGTAGTTTACTTGAGACGCAAAATTCTCACACCCCTTCAGCATTCAATCTTAGACCGTGGACTTAAGTTTATTCCCACACCAAAGATAGTTAACTTAAATTATCTTCGACCATCCATTGAACGATTTCAACGAAATCTTAGCTGCACATATTTTTTTCGAAATCACCCCCACGTGGTGCTAGAACAACGTTTTTTCCCAAATCCACGTGGACATTTATCCTGAAATATTGAAAGCATTTGTGAGTATGAATAGCCAAACAGCGAACCCCCATAACACACGAAAAGCCTAATCTCACACGAGTGGAACGTGAAGCGTTAAACTTACTTAAGAAAGACGATAGCATTGTTATTAAAAAGAGTGACAAAGGTTCATGTTGTGTCATTCTGAATAGGGAGGATTATGTTTCAGAAGCAGAGAACCGACTGAATAATCCTAAACATGCCATTTTACCGAAACCAATTTTCAAAGAAACTGCTAACATGATTAACAATATTCTTACCGATTTAGTCAAAACTAGTTATCTCAAACAGAAACAATATGACTATCTGTCTGCCAAACCTGATGTCGCGAGAGACATTTGTACACTAAAATCCATAAGAACCCAACCAAGGAGTGGTTTATCTCGAATAAAATCGCTAAAGGCCTCCCGATTATATCTGACTGTGGTAGTGAGTCATACTCTGTGTCAGAATACATTGATCATATCTTACTACCTCTAGCATGTCAACATCGCGCCTACCTTAAAGACACAACCGATTTTGTCAATAAAATAAAAAATCTTCGAGTTCCCTCTAATGCCATTTTAATTTCTATCGACGTTTCTTCTATGTATACCAATATCGATAACACTACTGGTTTAACGGCAGTTCTTAAAGCTTTTAATAGAAACCCAGATCCAAACAGACCCGACGAAGCAATTCTTCAGCTTTTAGAGATTTGTCTTAGTCGAAACGATTTCACATTTAATGGTAAAACATATTTACAAACTTCAGGGACAGTAATGGGCAAACGATTCGCCCCTTCGTACGCAAACCTTTTCATGGCAGAGTGGGAACGTGAGGTGTTGCCCCTCTGTCCATTTGACCCACATGACATTTTTATGGTTTGGACTTATTCTATCGAACAGTTTTGGGAATTCTTTGAAATTCTCAACAACCACCATCCTTCTATCAAACTAACCGCAAACGTGAGTGACAAAAGCATAGACTTTCTCGATACCACTGTTTTTAAGGGAGATTCCATAGCAGAAACAAATAAACTGGATATTAAAGTGTATTTCAAAGAAACATATACTCATCAACTCTTGCACAAGAGCTACTTTCACCTTTTCTGGTATAATTAAGTTTTACGATTTCATCGAATTTGTACAAGATCTTCTGATTTCAACCAAGCCTGTACGATTGTTTTCTCAAAACTGAAAGAGCGTGGGTACTCTAAACGATTTTTACGAAACATAAAAAATCCACCTTAGCACAGATAGCAGCTAAAAACAGACTTTATGCCGAAGTACCTCCAGGTTTAAGAAGTGCTCCATGTTTGTCCAGTAGATGCAAAACATGTCTCTATATATCAGATACTCATTATTTTGTAAGCAACTCTACGAATAAAAGGTACCCGATCCAGGAACATCTAACATGTGAACATTCGAATGTAATATATTTAATTTCATGCAAGAAATGCCCCAAACAATATGTAGGAGAAACTAAGAATAATTTACGAACCCGTTTTAATGCTCATAGGTCGGACAAATTAAAGAAAAACAAGCCTGTTTCTAATCATTTCAACCTCGACGACCATTCAATAGACGATCTCACCCTAATCCCAATTGTGCGTATAGAAATTGACTTGCCCGAAGATGAAACTACCAAATTCCGTCAATCCAGGGAAGCCCAGCAACACCTATAGGACTAAATATTCATCATAATGTAGGCATAGCACCCTTTGTTGTCCCGTTCAATACAACCAGCAATCGAGCAAGCAAGATAGTTCATGCCCACTAAAAGAGCCTTCAAGAGAAATTCCCCCATGTCTATAAGCAGAAAATGATAGTTGTATATAGTTGTATATTCAAAAAATAAGAACTTAAATGATAATATTGTTCATAGTAAACTAAAAACAATCAGTACATAACAGATACTATACTTCTCGACCATCGGGCGAGTAATTTTTTCTAATTTCAGATCAGAATAAGAACAGAAGAAAACCCAATATCAAGACCCTTAATCCTAATTTCTAAATAAAGTGTCTGCTCCACCCTAGGCCTGTACATTTGGGAGAATCAAACCATGCCTTCCCCGTAATCTATCAGATGCAGTAGTTAAAAAACAAAATAATATACATAGTAAGTTTGTGATTTTGAACTTATAACGTGAATAATGGCGACAAAATCGTATACTATCCTTGAAATGGAAATCAATGAAAATATATAGTAAACAATCATATTAGATTTAAACATAATCTTCTATTATGATGATATTATTATATTAATTTCACCGATGGCGATTCAAGACATACATTCCCCCTTTCAGACGACATGAGTTTAAACTATTTCAGTATTTCCCATGAGTTACATGAGTAAATTTTAACATAACCTATCAGGTTTTCCAATTCCAATATTCATTCCAATAATTAACATTAAAGCAATAAACACAAAAATGTTATTATTATGTATGCCAATATAAGTTATTCTTACCGAGCACAACAAAAATTGTTCCTAAGAAAGTACCGAATTTTGTTCCGAAGAATATCATCACAACCAAATGACTTCATTCTTTCCTCAACACAGTTCAGACAAATAACATGAACATGACATAACATGAAGTAAGACAAGTAAGACAACGCGCCAGGTAAGTATTGACTCTCATTGTGGTTTCTGATAGCAGTAGCAGTAAAGAATTTTTGCACGATCTCAATATGCCGATCGTTCGTTCGCCTGAGAATAAAGGGTGATGTAAGAAATCACGGAAACCAGCTAAAGCCATGTCTTTGTGGTGAAGTTTGCTACGCAGAACATCTGTTAGTCCACTGTGAGCAAGTAGCGTATGTCTTCAATACGGTTGACACTTTATAATTTTAAATCAGGAATGATCGCACATTAGGTGTTACCATAGTCCTCAATATATAGTATAAAGAAAATAAAAGAAGAGTGCACAGATGAAGCTGAAATGGCACGTTGCTCTTCACTATAAAGAATAAACTGAAATCTACTGAAGAAGACCTATAGAAGAGAAACTATACAAAAGGAAAACTGCAGAAGGCGAACTCTACAGAAGAAGCGCGAAGTATTAAGACATGGAGGAAGTCATGAGAGTCCGTCGATCCTTACTCAACGTCTGCGATATGAATTTTTCTGATCTAAATTGGACATCACCCCTACGTAGAAGAAAAAGGAGATGGAGAAGAAGAAGGAGGTAAGTTTTGACAACTATAAGAGCCTATATACCAACTTTTGTTCCTTTAAAACGTTATGTACTGTTTCACCAGGGATTACGATAAATCATCATTTAATCATTAATAAATAATTAATGAAAGATTGATCGTAATATATTAAATTGTCACTGGTTTTGACAATGGTATTGTATTTCTCCCTTTTCAATCAAATATCCTGTCACCAGTTTCAATATAAATTATCTATTACCAGATTTTAATCACGTACATGTAAATATATATTGGAAGAATGTCATTCTTTTCAAATCTAACAGTGGTACCAGACAGTGGCTGAGCCAAAGGAAGGGGGGGGGGGGGCGGAGGGGCAGACCCCCCTTAAGTTGTTCTTTTTTGAGACTGTTGGGTATCTGGCCCAGTTGGGTACCATGCCCAGTGGACGGTGCACAACCATCGTACCGTTGAAGGGTTCTATAGGTTCACTTGCTGTTATAATCGGTTAATATTGGGATATCAGCCTCAAAATAGTACTGATAGTCATAGAATGTCTTTGCGTTGATAAAAATTATGCTCTTTTGTAAGTTTACATTAAAAAGAAATTCATTTCCCGCCTAGAAATTTTCACCCCAAAAATTCGCAAATTTTGGTAGAAAATGATCTTCTGTAAAAGCAAATTTTTGAAGAGATAATGTGTGCTTATGTATATATTATTATCAAAGCAAAGACATTTTAAGACTCACAGTAATATTTTGAGGCTACTATTCCAATTCTCAGAAATATAACAGAAAAAATTCAAAAAACTTTTTACTTTGCTTAAACAATAAGGACTTGTTTTTAAATTATGGTAAATCGAATGAATGTAAACAAAAGTTTTAATTTTCCTACTTTTCTGCACCAAATTGAGCTATTGAAAAAAACAAGGAAGTGTGCCATCAGGGAAATTTGCCACGACAGCGGTAGTAGGCCTACAAGATTTCCAACTGTCGAGAAATTTTCAACGAGTAAGACAATTCCGTTAATCAAAATCTGTCAATGGTAATTGCTGTCTATGGGTGTCATAGCACAAGTAGTATCATCTGTTTCAATTATGTATCACTTAAATACATGGAGCGACACAGTAACAACCGTTTTGCATGGCCTAAGAAAGAGGATGTCTTAATGAACAGATAGATATTCTTTGTAATATAAATCATGCTGGTGTG